CCCCGCCGCTCCCGGCGGTTGGGTGCTTTCGTTGAGCCCCGTCAGCGATTCGTAGGAGGGCAGGGAGACGCTGATCCTGTTGCTCCTGTCCGAGTCTCTGGGCTCGGAGAAGCCCACGTTCATCACCTCTTCGTAGCTGGGGACGTAGTACTGGGAAGACACGTCTTCGTCCTCTTCTTGACTAGAGGGGGAACAATTAAGGCTATCGCTAGCACATCATTTCAGCTTCTCTGAGAGAAAGGGATGGGGAGGAGAGAATAAACACACACCCCCCACCCCCAAAACCTTACCAAATTATTTGCACTTCTACGTTACATACCAGTTCCTTTTTGTCTGACAGAAGAGATGGCAACCCTACCTACACTCAGAGACATTTTTCTTTCCTTGTGACATACGTCCGTCTTTGAGCACCGCTGCCTTTGCCCACAAAGCCTCTTTTCCTATTGCACAGCAGTGATTTCTTCCCCTGGCAGAACACTGATTTCCCTCCTCCCCTCTCAACAATCCCTCAAAATACATTTGAAAGGGACCTCACCCCTCCCATCCTGGTCATTTTTGGGTTGGGTAGCTACCTTGACCTTTTCCTGCACAGAGCTTCAGCTCTGCAGTACATTACCATCTACGCCACAGCTGCCTGCACACGCAGGCTCGGCATTTCTTTTACATTATGAAGCTACCTTTACGATCAAAGAGGGAAAAACAGTTGTCCGGGTGGAGTGGTTCCCTGCAGTCACTGATAACCCCTCTCCCCCGCAGCATTCCCTCGGCAGCAGCCAGCAGAGCCATCGTCTCCTGCCGCCTCGCACCCCACATTGTCCCAGCGCCCCCTGCCTCTCTCTGCACAGGCACAACCCGCCCCGGGGACCGCAACGATTCCCCACGCTGCTGAGATGCCCGGGGACTTCTCCTGTGCCCTGTGTTTGTTCAGACCGCGCCTGCTGCGGCAGCAGCCTTTGCTGTGCTCGTTGGGAGTCCCCCGAGCAAACACAAGAGCCCCGCAGACTTTCACCAGGTCTAAACTCCATTTCCAGCTGCTGCCTACCCTGCCCCTACGACTGCACGTCCGACAACTCCTGCTCCTCTCCCTCCACAGCGAGCCCTGCTCTTCTGCGTTAACCATTAACCACCACGCCCAGCGCTCCCCCTCAGCACGCTGCCTGTGTACCGACGCAGCCAGGAGCGGCACGTCGCAGCAACGCTGGCTTGGCCACATCTCTATCTAGACCCCAGCACAAACAACGCTCCCTTTCACCTACAGCACCACAACGACAGCTGGAACCATTCCTTCCTGATCTCCATTACTTATTTGACCCCTAAACCATGAGGCATGCAGGCCTGCCTTTTAGCACAAGCTTCTCTCAGCCTTCCTCACCTTGCTCCCGACTGGCAGCCCTTGGTTTCATTCCTACACTCAATCCTGCTCCCTTTCGCCCCAAAAAGCCTCACCTGTCCTCCTGGTGCGAGGGCTCTGGAGATGCTTGGTGCTGCACGTGAGCGATATCTTCGCTTTGCCTCTTCTTGTCCCGGATATTCAGGCAGATGGAGAGCAGCAGCAGCAGCACGCCCGCTCCCACCAGCACGTAGGCCACCGAGAAGGTCTTGCTCTTCAAAATGCCTCCCGTGCCACGGTCGGGCTTGCTGCTGTTCCCGGCGTGCGTGGCGGGTTTGTCGGTGGGGCCGAAGCCGGGGACGAGGTTCCACACGGCCATGATGATGCCGAGGACGAGCATCCCCAGCCCTATCGCCGTCAGGGCGTAGTGCGAGCCGTTGGTTCGAGACTGGGCCATCGCTCCCGCTGCTGGCCGGCCGGCTGGGTGGCCCCTACCTCACAGCAGGGCTCGGGTCGGGGCGGGTGCAGGCCTGTTAGCATGCGGACAGCCCCCTCCCGCGGCAGGCAGCGAGCGCTGGGAAGAGATGGAAAGTGACGGTTAGCGCGCAAGGGCTACGCGCCTACCATTTCGGTGGCCGCGACAACATCGTTTTATCCAACTAACGCTGGAAATCTAATTCCACCAGGCCTGCGGAGAGCACGTCAGGATGTAACACGGCACTCGGCAGCAGGATCCTTGCTGGCCGTTCTCGTCGTGACCCTTGGCTACTTTCTCGGCTCAAATATCCAGCAACCTTAAGAAACAACTAAATTACTGACGTTTGTCAAGGACTCAGATTAACTGTCCTTAGCAGCACCCAAACCAACCTCTTCGCAGCACCAAAAAACACGCCACCCAAATAAATTTCACTGCTTACAGAAATGCTCCGTGCTTTATGGAGCTGTGCCGCCTCAGACACATGGCCCCTGCCAATGCAGACTAACCTGAAACCGCTCAGAAACAAATCTCTAGCTGTACAACTTCTCCTTTCTCCCCGTTCGAGATGGAGCAGGGCTGCTTGCAGAGCTGGCTGCCTGCCCTGCAACGCCTCCCTGCCCAGAGAAGAGAAAGCAAAACTGCCACTCTCCCAGCCAAGCCAGCCCTGAGGCTTCCCCTGGCCGCTGCCTGCAAGGGCTGCTCCAAAACCAAGTGCTCAGCACAGCCCACGGCTTGCTTCGGGCCAGCGCTCGCCCACCCCGGAGTAACACAGGCTGCTGGTGAGTCCCCCGGCTGCATCCCGCTGACCGCAGCGGGCTCGGGGCCGGCCAAGCGCTGCCGTTCCCCACCAGCCAGGCCCACGGGTGGGAACTTCTCCTCCGCCGCCGCCTCGACTGAACGTCTGCGTTTTCTCAGCCGCCGGGACCAGATGCGCTCGCTTTCCAAAAATAAAACACACGGAATCGCATCTCCTGACCGCTCGCCTCCCCGACCTCGGCTTGCAAAGATGGCAGCTGCGAGCGCAACCCCTTCCTGCAAAACCACGGGCCATCACTCAGGTCCCTGCAGCAAAGCTCCCCCTTCTCCACGCGAGCGAGCCTTGCCGCAGCCTCCTTTGCAGCCTCCCGGTTCAACGCATGTGCCTAAGCCAGCATGCACCAGCACAAACATGCCAGGGTTTTCTCCTTTCCTCCCCAGCCCCAGCTTCTGGATGCTTGCTTGTGCTAGAAGTCACCCTCGGACACGCTGCTGCTGTGTGCTGGCTCCGTACACGCCCTCACCCTTCAGCACAGCCGTCCAGTTCGATGGTCCTGAGCTTCACGTTTCCTTGTTTAGCTTGAGCGCAAGCCTAGTTCGTGCGGTCAAGGGCCAGAATAAACCAGCATTCCCAGAAAACACACCAGCCTCAGCTGCTTGCAGGAAAAGACAGACACGCACGCGAGCCCGGAGACCAGAAAGCTGCAGAGCAACTTCCCCATCGCGGCCCACTCACCGTCTGTGCCCCAGCACCGCTTCGGAGGCTCGCCGAGGGATAGCCCAGCCCCTTCAGACTCACCAAGGGATGTCCCAGCCCCTTTAGACACAGCCCTGGCCCCGCATCGGGGTTGTCAGCATTCGCACAGCTCCGGGAAGGGCAAAGTCTTCGCTCCCGTGGGCAAACGCGAGCTGCCGAGCCCTGCCCGATGGCAGCTGGCGGAAGGCACGCAGGGGACAGCGTGCTGCCCCAGCCGGCGCCGGGCTGCTGCCACGCACCACCATCTGCCCCTCGGGGAAGGCATCCCCTGCCCCTGGCTTTAAGTCAGCCCTAGCCAGGTGAGGACGAGGCAAATGCTACACCCGAAAGGTCCTCGCCAACATCCCGAGAGCAAACACAACCGGACAGCTCATCCTACCCGAGCGCTTCTGAACGGCAAATCCCACCATGCGTCCTCTTCCTCCATCCACCCTCATCGGGCCCCGCTCCCAGCTGCACCAGCGATGCCCAAGCCTGACGGCCGAGGCTCTGATTTAGCAGCAGCCCTGCTTCTCATTTTGGGTCTTGCAAACTTACTCTACACGGGCGGCTGTTGGGTTTTTCCCTTACCTGTTTATCCAAGCGAGCTCCCATCCCCGCGCTATTCGGCATTTCACAAACAACATCGACCAGCCCGGATTTCACTTGCAAACTGCTGCGATGGCTTCGGGGCAGAAAAATTGCACAGCGCACACAGTGGGCATGGAACACACACAGGGCTGGTAACCTTTACCCATGGCGTCTAAACCTCCTTGCCTGTTCCTGATCTCTCTGCCTTCCCTCAGGCACCTCACCCCCTGGAAGCGGGCAGGATTTCAGCTGCTCCGTCATCTCTGTGCCTGAAAGTTTTACGCAGATCCCTTGCCGTGCTGCCCTGCAGCCCGGGCAATCGGATTACAGCAGGAGACTTGACATACAAGCCTGTCTCTCCATTGAATTAGCTCTTCTTTTGGCTTTCCAGAGCGCACTCCAATCACTGCTTCAGCAGTAACCCTGGTGCCCTGACGTCAGTGGCCAGAAAAAGAGGGAAACTGCTGCTCGTTCCATCTCGGGTCCAGCATCCCTGGTGCTGCCGGCAGCAGCAGGGGCGGTCGTCCTGAGATGCATGCCAGTCAGCGTGGCAAAAGGGTGCCACAACTTGAGGGTTCTGGGAAGCCCCCAAACCAACCACTGACTCACCCCAAAAAACCTTGCTGCAACCAGTATCTCCAAGGTGGCACCTGCTGCGGCTGTCCCCAGCAGAGCACAGATAGTGCCGTCCTCCCAGATTCAGCCACGGAGGAATTCGCTGCTCGGTGGTTGCACTGGTTTATTAATCCTTGAGGGTTTTTTTCCTCCATGTTTACCATCACTGCTCCACTGCACTTTCCTACTGTGCACCCAACCCTCACTCACCATCCTTGCACCACGTCAGGCGAGCCTGCTCTCTTCTTTCCCTGCCACCAGCTCGCCAAAGCCACGGAGCTGCGGCTCCCCGCGGCAAGCTCACCCCTCCATCAGGCGGGCAGGTGGCAGCCAAGCTCTCCAGCCCGCCTCCAGCCTCCATCCCCTTCCCTCAACCCACAGCACGGGGTCTTCCCTGCAGCCAGACCCACCTTCGTCCCCATCCCACGCACGCCTGCGGCCCTGCGCAGCGCTGGCAATGATTTACACCAGGATCTCCGAATCATTAAACTCCACCAGCGCGGCTGCCAAGCCCGGGGCACCTGCACCGCCTCCGCACTCGACCGGACTTCCCGCAACTCTCACCACCTCCTTGCAGGCTGCCAGAGCCAAGGGACGCTTTGTGACTTCTCTTGGGACGTTTCCGACTGTTAATTCGGCTCAGGAGGGCTCAGGATAAGCCCTTTCTTGAGGATCAACACGCCTGGACACACCCTGAAGGCTTTTGGCACAGGCACCCAGGCGGGGCGGCCGCAGACAGCATCTTCCCCTCTGCGGGAGGCACCAGCCCTCCGCAACAGCAGTCCCACTGCAGGGACACAGAGCTCCTGAGGAGTCAGTCCTGGATCACACTCCACATCTCAGTGCTCCTGGTGAAATGTCAACCCCGTCGGGGTGAGGTGACTCACGAGGAAGCACGACACCCATCGCTGCCCACGGCGGCACCCACGCACCTCTGCCCTCCGCAACCTTTGGATTTTTCCCCTCCCGTGACCTCACCTTCCCTCTCATGTTCCAGCAGCAACACCTTCATCATGGGATCACAAGAGATGAGTCTGCAGTTCGGGGAACAGGTCAAACCCTGATGCAGTCACAGGGCACAGGACCAGCTCGCTCGCACTGAGCTCCAGGGCTTCTCTGCTCCGAGGAGGAGTCAGAGCATGATGCACACCACCACGGAGAGATCCCTCCCCTTGGAGCCTACCTCCAAAAGCTGGTGTGCAACTCCAGCACCGGTTGGAAAACACGAGACTAAATTTTCTAGAATATTTTGGGGGAAAATAAATCTATTCTCCAAACATCCTAAGAGCCTGAAGCCTGCCGCAAGTTAGCTTACATTGGGTGCCTGGAGCCACAGCTCATCCTCTTCCCAAGCTCCCCTTTCCTGCAGTGGCAGTAACCTCGTGCGGAGCCCTCGTTACACAGGGGCCAGACCCACCAGCAACACAAAACGCCCCACAGAGTCAGAAAACCAACAGGTCAGGACTCAGGTAATATTTTCTCTCTTTTTTTTTTTTTTTTTTAGCCCATCTCACTGCCCACGTTATACCTGCCCCAGCAGCAGGGATGTTTCTGGCCAGATGCAGCCCAGGGGATGGATGGGGGGAAATTCTCCTGCCCCAGTGGGGAGAGAAACACCCAGAGACACCCAGCTGAGGTGGGAAAAGCAGCGTCGCTGACGATTTGGCCAATTCCTGTGCGTTCGGACAAATACCCAGGGCTGTTTCACAGCCTCTCACCAGGGAATAGAGAGACCCGGAGGGACAGCCCCGCACAGACTACCGGGGCTTTTCCACGTTTTGCTGCTGATGCTTCCTG